TTGAACAATTAATCACATGAGGGCAATTATAGCTGGAGGGAATAAGGAGAGTCTTGGGGCATTTATAGCTATGTCAGTTATGAATAAGAAGAGTTTTTGGGGGATGGGGTGGTATGTTTTCTTTGAGTAAAGAATATTGTGAGTGTTTGGGAGAGTCGGCGGTCTCTTGAAGAACCAACCAACTGTTAATGTTTTCTGCTGAATGAATACTAGTTTCTTTTGTTGATGTTCGAGTGTGTGAACACTACTGTAAGTCTGTGAACTGCGTGTCAAATTTCTGGGACATATCACACCCTTTTAACATCGAGCCCAAAACATATGATTTCTATTTACTCATTGCTTAGCTAATCCATCCGCCAACCCATTAGTGGGGGACCTCCTAACCCATCTTACATGAATTTGCATTTGTCTTGGCAACAACTTGAATGGTCGGAATTCATTTCCAAATTTCCATAATGCCCCTTCTCCTTTTTTTCAACCAACCAATGATTATTTTTGAGTCCCCTTTTACAATCAGCCTTGTGAATCCCATTTCCTTAGCTTTTTGCACCCCAACAATAGCAGCCATTAATTCAGCTCTCATTGAATCACCCTGTTCTATAGGCCCTCAAAAACAATCAACAAATGTTCCCACTCCCATCTCTAATCACTCCTCCAATTCCAAAGGGTCTCGAATTGACAAAATTACTTCCATCAAAGTTAAGTTTCATCCACTCACCACTTGAGTGAGACCAAACCTCCAGGACCTTTTGTTTCCTAGAGGAAGAAAGGGCAATCGACCATAGTTTTGAAAAAGTCTTCCACTGAGAAATCTAAAAATGGTTTCGAAGTCTTCACCCAATGTGCTACTTTTACTGTAATAGTCTCCAAGATTGCCTCCTTATTTCTTTCTCTTTCCTCAAAGAAATATTGTCCACACAACCACTGCCCTTGCACACTTCCACAAGATTCTACCTCTTCTCTATGTGCATCTCAGAACGGTTGGGCTGAAAAGCCTTTCCAAACTAACAGGAGGGACCCACCTGCAACCAAAAAGAGAGCAAAATCATTCCCAAACACGACAAACAAAGGGACAGGAGATTAAGAGGTGGAAAGCACTCTCACCATTCAACTTACACAAGATGCACCAATTAGGAGACAAGCACCAATTTGGCCTTTTCTTTTGCAGCAAATCACCCATGTTGATGCTCCCGTGATAAAATTCCCAATAGAAGGCACTGACTTTTGGGGGATAGGGGTACACCAAACTTATTTAATAGGAAATGGGAGAGGAATTGGCCATGAGGGAAGAGAAAAAAGATTTATAGGTAAACGACCCAGAGGGACTGAGAGACCAAACCTGCTTATCATCCACTAAATCATCAAAACCAGGTCATCCAAAATATTCAATAGGTTAGACATTGATGAGATTTTAGACTCTCTAAGGTTTCTCACAAACCCCAAATTCCATCCCTCCCCAGAGGAGGAGGGAAACCCAAGGAAATCATACACAGGTCTCCAAGGCTTAAGAGAGCATACAGAGAAGGAAACACACATCTTTCAAGGGGAGATCCCCAACCCACATCTTCTCAGAATATAATCCTTTTACCAGAAGCCAAATCATACCTGATATGCTCAAGGAATTGAGGAAGAATACCATGCATTGCTTTCCACGAAGCAGCTTGATCAGCCCTTTGCAGAATACTGGCATCCCATCCGTTCCTATAGAGCCCACGAACACTTGAAATCACTTTATGCCACAATTTGTCATTCTCCAGGGGGAAGTGCCATGACCACTTAAAAGTGGTTTCAAGTGATAGGAGTTGAAGTAGATGTATTTGCTTAGATTTTTTGTGTTTGAGGATATTTGAATCTCTATGCTTTTCATTTTATTGCCTGAAGTGTTGGACAGACATTTGCAATGGTAGAAAGGGGAAGTTATATTTGGAGATTGTTTGTGGCTTTTAAGCAGTCTTGTCATTCCCATCTTAAATTTGTAAATGATTCATGTTTTTTTATCAATAAAAATGATTCATGTTTTTCTGTGCAAAGTTATTCAGAAGCAGCTAAAATAATCTAGGTGCTTCTTGCAGTCCATTGAACAGATAACCTTGATATGGTATACTATTTATGTCTCTTGTGTAGTTGTAAGCCCTTAAACAGGTTCCTTAATCATGATTACATAATAATCGCTTGATACTGTACTTTCTCTCCCCAACTTTTTGGAATTTCTTTGTTCATCCAAAGAAGCTTTTTCAAGTTTATCTTAGGGAGTAGGATTGATGTCTTTGGTGCTAGGGTTTGAAAATAGTTACTAACAATGGATTATTGTTCCTAATTCCTTCTTTGTATTTATGAGGTTTATTGCTATTCTCTTCTGCAGTCAAAATTGGTAGGCCTGGTTACAGAGTAACAAAGCAATTTGATCCAGAGACAAAACAGAGATCACTTCTCTTCCAGGTTCCCATCTGTCTTTAGTTGTTTCAATTGTATATTTCTTAAGAGCAATGCCAGTCCCTCAATCATATATGGGGCTAATGCTAAAAAGGGGCATTTTTTGTCAACACATGGGATTTGAAGCTCATTAGTATTTACTCTTTTGTGATTTACAGTTTACCTTGAGCTTTGATCTAGCATTGCTCTTAATTTAATACCATAGATGTGTTTAGCGTTGAGGATATGCATATCACTGTTTATATTATACTTTATAGTTAGCTTAGCTATACCTTATATGGTGACATTGCACTTCATTACAGATTGAATATCCTGAAATTGAAGACAACGCAAAGCCACGACACCGATTCATGTCATCCTTTGAGCAGGTATAAGGTTTGTTTAAAAGGTTTGTGATGCTTATGCTTTGGGGCTTACTTCAAACTGAAGTTTAACTGCCAAGTAAAATGACCCTCAGGCTCAACCTTAAGGGTCAATGCTAAAAGCATAGTGGACATGCATCATGTCTTGATCTGTCTATAGCTTCTGGCTGCACACTGACTTTCAATCATTTCATACGACCAAATGATAGTGAATAACTTTATTTTTTTCAAAAAAAAAAAAAATGCATTCCACCATGTCTTGATCTGTCTATAGCTTCTTGATTTGCATTAAGAGCTTTCTCTAGGACTTTTAAGAAAGCTCTTAATACTTGATATTCCTATATATTGATAAATTATTCATCTATATGTTATTCCTATATAATGATAGTATTTTTGCATGGTACTAGGGGGTGGGGCAATTTCTGACCCAACCCACCCATTTAAGATTTGGGTTGAGTATGGGTCAAGTAAAAATGGTTGGGTTAGGGTGGGTCAGGGGTTTCCCTTTCCCTTAACCAAGAGGAGTGCACACAAAAAAAGGGTAAAATGCTGAAACCTCCCATGAAGTTTGGTAATTGCAATTACCTCCTCTGAACTTTCTAGCACAGTTGCAAGTGGACCCCCTCTACTAGAATCCTCTAACAAGAGGCATGAAAATGTCCAAAATACCCATGCAGTTACTTTTTACCAAAATGTTTATTTTCCAAATTTTCTCTTCATATCAATTGCTACCCCAAACCTTTCCAATCTCTTTTCCAAAATAGATTTATTTTCCAAAAATTTCCAGTCATATCTATCGCTCAAAGGTAAAGCTGCAACTTTGAACTCTCCTTTTTTGTTCATAAAATTTGTATTGTGTTTCTGTAGAAACCACCTTAATAGTAACTGCATGGGTGTTTTGGACATTTTCAGGCCTCTTGTTAGAGGATTTTAACCAAGGGATCTACTTGCAAGTTGCAACTATGTCGGAAAGTTCAGGGGAGGTGAATGCAATTATCAAACTTCAGGGGAGGTTTCAGCAATGGTCAGAAACTTAGGGGAGGTTTTTTAGCAAAAAAGCGGAGAAAGAAATTGGAATAATGAGAGAGAAATCACACAACCAAGAGGAGAGAGAATCTAAAATATAGACAGTAGGAGAGAGAAATATAAAGATTTGGACTTCATTAGAAAAAAAGTTAGAAAAACAAGAGGAGAAGCCACATAACCAAGAGGAGAGCGAGTTTAAAGGAAAGAGGTGGAGAAATATAAAAATTGGACTTCAGTACAAAATATTGGAGAGAAATGGCAAAAGAGTGAATCCACATAACCAGGAGGGAGGAGAGAGAAACAAGATAAAAGTGGCGAGAGAAACATAAAAATTGGACTTCATAAGTAAAAAGTAGCGAGAGAAAGGTGATAAAGGAGAGAGAAGCCACGTAACCAAGAGAGAGAATTTAAAGGAAAGAGAGGAGAGAGAAACAACATAAAAGACAAGAGAAACATAAAATTGAATTCCATTATGAAACATTAGAAAGAGAAAGGACGTAAAGAGAGAGAGAATCCATACAACCAAGTGGAGAGAATGAGAGGAGAGAGAAATAAATATTGAACTTCATTAGAAAAAAAGTTAGAAAAATGAGAGATAAGAGAGAAAACCCGCATAACCAAGAGGAGAGAGAGTAGTGAGAGGAGGGAGGAACAAGATAAGGGTGAGGATATTGAAACACAAAGCTTGGACTTCATTGGAAAATAGTTAAAGAGAATGGACATGAAAGAGAGAGAAGCCACATATCTAGGAGAGAGAAACATAAAAATTGGACTTCATTGATTATGTGGCTTCTCTCTCCATTATCTCCTTTCTCTATGTTTCTCTCTACTCTTTCTATCCTCTAGATTATATCTCCTCTTGGATACCTGGCTTCTCTCTTTTTTGACCTTTCTCTCTCTATTTTTTTTCTTAATGAAATTTAAATTTCATTTTCTCTCATGTCTCTTATATTGTTTCTCTCTCCTCTTGGTTATGTGGCTTCTCTCTTTCACGTTGTTGAAGTTTGACCTGCCATAGAATTCTGTCTTGTTCGTTGACTGTAGAGTAAAGTAGACAGCAAGAAGTAGGAGAGGAAAGAAGAAAAGAGAGAAGAGAGAAAAGAGAGAAAGGCTGGTTCGAATTAGGGAAAAAAGTTAATCCCTTGATTCGGCCAGACCTATTATTATATTATTGACTTATTGAAAAAGAC